TTCCTGGTTTAAATAAGCTCCCGGTGCAGATGGGTTTTACAGCCTGTCTAGACAAAGCTGGAAATACTTACAGCAAGCATTTTTTAAAAATTTTTTATTTCTTTTCAGCGTAACAGTATTCATTGTTTTTGCGCCACACCCAGTGCTCCATGCAATCTGTGCCCTAATACCCACCACCTGGTTCCCCCAACCTCCCACTCCCCGCTTTTTTTTTTTTAATCTTAGGAACTCTTCTTGACTAATGTTTCCAAGAATCATCACAAGTAAGTGACGCTGGTGGAAGCAAAATGACTTAAAGAACAACTCAGGCCCCAATGACATTGACTGTGAAGACCAAGAGATCAATTATATACGGAAAGTTCAGTGTTTACTTATTATTCATTTATTTACTTATCTTTAAGGTAATCTCTATGCCCAACATGGGGCTTTGAATTCATGACCCTAGAAAGAGGCACATGCTCTACTTATTGAGCCAGCCAGGCGCACCCCCCCGTCCCCCAAAAAGCTGGTCTTTAAACAGAGAAGAGCATTTCTCCAGAGACACCAGCCAGGACGAAACTTGAAATGCCAGGTGTGGTTCACCCGCTGAGATGTCTGCACCGCACTTGTTCCAACAGCGCTCTCCATTCCACGGTGTCTGTGACCTTCAAGCGCGGACACAAGGCACCCGCCTTTGGCTGTTCCACAGAGCACCTTGGTCCAGGGGCTGTCCGCTATGGGAGTCAGTGGTTTTCCATTACTTACAAACCCATGTTGATATTAAACATAAACGTAATCCCCATAAGCTTTCCAGTCCTCAGCCTATAGGATAGGATGGGATTAAAACCAAAGTGAATTCAGGGAAGACCCAACTGTTTTGAACAAGTAACATAAAAGTGATTGCACAATTTGGACTCACTTAATTTTGTGTCTGACTACAAAACGATCCTTGTGAAGAAAATAGGACTTGAAGGAAACTGAATGTCTGTGGAGAAAAGTATGCCTAAATACAGTCAGTACTCAGGTAATGAAACGATAGCTGACTAAATGACAAGTAATCCAGTAGACTGTTGAAGTTTTAGATCCATGAAAATATGCATGGCTATTTTTATGTTTTACACAGTAGGTAGTCTTTTTTTTTTAAAGATTTTATTTATTTATTTATTTGACAGAGAGAGATCATAGGTAGACAGAGAGAGAGAGAGGGGGGAAGCAGGCTCCCCACTGAGCAGAGAGCCCGATGCGGGGCTCGATCCCAGGACGCTGGGATCACGACCTGAGCCGAAAGCAGAGGCTTTAACCCACTGAGCCACCCAGGCGCCCCCACAGTAGGTAGTCTTAAGCAGTGTGAAGCACATTCTTGTGAGGACAATCATACCATCTGAGGAACTCGCTGGCACTAATTCTCAATTAGTCATTTCTATATTCTTATTTGTATAGGTTTTCACATATCAGCTTAGGTATCAGTTCAAAAATTTACCTTCTTTTTTTTAAAAAAGATTTTATTTATTTATTTGACAGAGATAAACACAGAGAGAGAGGGAACACAAGCAGGGGGAGTGGGAGAGGGAGAAGCAGGCTTTCCACCAAGCAGGGAGCCTGATGCGGGGCTCAATCCCAGGACCCTTGGGATCATGACCTGAACCCAAGGCAGACGCTTAATGACTGAGCCACCCAGGCACCCCAAAATTTACCTTCTTTAATATGGAATTCCCAACATTTCCAGGGTACTCAGAAGTCAGATTTTTTTTCTTCTCTAAGATTAGCTTGGACAGAATTAAAATGGTCTGTTTCTTTGATCCCACTAAAATATGAGAAAGTCACCTGATATAGAACAATAATTATTTTCACAACAATTCTTTTGCAGGCAAATCCTTGGAGAATTAACGTGAATTCCCCTTGATTTGGGCTGCTCTTCCCTCCCTGAGGCGGGGCAGATCCTACACTGGTTGGTCTGGGGTCTCCCCTAGAGAAGGCTCTGTGGCTTCCCCTCTTGGTGGAAATGACTTTGGTTCAAGACTATGAAACCCCACAATCCAAGAAATGCAAGTCACCAGGGTGGCCCAGAATTAATACAGTTTCCTGGGGACCTTTTAACTGACGGTGTTCCCAGGATGAAACCAGAATTCACCTCTAATTATTTCTTTACTTTGGAGATGAAGTAGAATAGGATCTGCCTGACCCATTTGGTCCCCTAAACCTCCTTCACATTGGATTTCTGCATGTAAGTCTGGAGAGTACACCGAGATGAGAATGACCTGATATAAAGAATGTGAGAATTAGAAGAAGTCCAAGTGCCAGATGGCGGAATTAAACTTGTCCCCTATCAAAAATCTCTGTCTTTTTTTGTTTTTTAAAGACTTTATTTATTTATTTGTTTGACAGAGAGTGACACAGCAAGAGAGGGAACACAAGCAGGGGGACTGGGACAGGGGGGAAGCAGACTCCCTGCCTACCAGGGAGCCCAAGGCGGGGCTTGATCCCAGAACCCTGGGATCATGACCTGAGCCGAAGGCAGACGCTTAACAACTGAGCCACCCAGGCGTCCCGAAAAGAGTCTATCTTGAAGATAAAAAAAGTTATGAGGATGGATGTTGATGCTGGTAACAAAACAGTGTGAATGTCTTTAATGTCACTGAACTGTACATTTAAAGATGATTAAATTGGTAAATTTTATGTTATGTACATTTTGCCTCAATAAGTCAGTCAGTCTTATACTGGTATTCATACACATGTATGGACACATATGGTCAAAATTTAAGTGAGAAATATATTCTAAAACCAGAAAGGGACAGGGTGCCTACGTAGCTCAGTCAGTTAAGCCTTCAACTCTTGATCTCAACTGGGTCTTGAACTCAGAATTGTGGGGTTTGAGCCTTGCATTTGGGCTTAAATAAAATTTTTTTAAAAAAATCAGAAAGGGACAGTACATATGTTTTCATTTTTGCCGTAATTTTCTCATCATTTAAAACATATAAGTTTAGAAAAACATTAAATTGGCATCACACAGGAAATTCGCCTCCAAGTTACTTCTGGCCTTTAAATGTGGTGCTAAATTTATACACACTTCCTTCTAATTAGTTTGTTACTCATTGTACAACTGAATTCAAAACAAAACCAAAAACACCCAGTACCTCCTCCCTTAAAATCTTGCTTGGACGACTTCCCAAAACACAGCAACTATTCACACGTCGTTGGTTTTTTACTTTCCTTGTATCGAAATGCCCTTTTTTCACAATTTGGTCTCACCCCACCCTGCCCTGCACCCCCCAACACAACATTAAGGATAAACATGATTGGTTAATAGATCACAGAGCTATAGGCTGCCCATCCATGGGGAGAAGCTTTTCCTTTCAATCCAGGACCGATGTGGAAATCACTAGATTGGGGAAGGAGACGCGAGGTCAGTGGTCATGTCCAAATGGCAGGTAGGTGCCCGGACAGCTCGATTGGAAGCGTAAGTCTAGAAGAGACAATCCAGGAATATCACAGCAGCCTGCAGCAGTCTGTCATCACATCTGCTCATGAACATAAAGGATGGAGTTCATTTTTTCTTCTCCCAGTGATAGATCATGGGGATAGCTTTGGACAGGACCAATGAAATGACAGGAGTTATACAAAATCATAGATACTTCCAAGCAGGAATGCACTGTAAAAATCAATTAAGAACTCCTAAAAAAAGAAAAGAACTCCCATTTCTTGTGGCTATCAAGGTAACACGAAGCCTGAGATGATTGCTTTCCAGCTCTTCAATCAGAAAACGAAATGACAGTAGGCATGACACAACATACCATCGGACGTCTAGCTTAAGCAGGATGCTGATTATCCTCAGTACAAAAGAATCTGGATGCTATCTTCATATACCACAGCATGTAATGTCCCTTATTTTATTTACAGAGGACACAGTATGAAAATGGGAGAAAACATTAGCATCAAAAATGTTAAGTCACTCTTAGAACGGATTTGTACCTTTGAAGTAGTATAACATTGGCCAAGGTTTTAAAAGTTATTTTGTATTTATTGAAATTCAAGACAGACCAGCAAAGTACCTTCAAAATAAAGATTAACAAAATAAACTAGAAAACTGTTTCTGAAATAAAGATGACTAAAAAGTAGTTAGCTTGAGTTTGTTAGTTGTCAACGGTTGCTCTAACACGTTACCAGAAACCTAGTGACTTAAACCACATAAATGCATTATCTTATAGTTCTGTGGGCTAGGGATCTGACACAGGCTGCACTGGGCTAAAATCTGGAGGCTCTAGGGAAGACTCTGTTCTCTTGCCTTTTCTGCTTTTCAGAGGCCAACCCCAATCCTTGGGTCATGGCTCCTTCCTCCATCTTCAAAGCCAGAAATGTTGTATCTCCCTATTCTGTATTTCACATTTCCCTTTGGCCTTGACATTCTTCCAATTCCCTCGTCCCCGTTTTTAAGGACCATTGGAATTATACTGTGCCCACCTAGAGAACCCAGAATAACCTTCTTATTTCCAGGTCAGATTAGTACCTTAATTCCACCTGCAACCTTATTCTTCTTTGCCATTTAACCCAACGTATCCACAGGTTCTGGAGATTAGGACATAGACGTGGTGGGGGTTGGGGCGGCATGATTCTAGTTACCACACGTTAAATACACATGTAAATAAATACACCACAGTTTAATGTTTTGTAATAGTTCAGTAATTGTCATTCAGTTGCCTTAACCTATAGAATTAATCTTTTTTACCCATATAAAACAGATTGGACTGGCCGGATGCAACAGTAACCAAAAAAAACATAAAGCGATATAAAAGAAATTGTACAACATTGCAAAGTAGTGATTATTTGTGTATGTGTTCATATATGTATATACAAAACTATACAATGTATACACACGTGTATATGTGTGTATACACACACACACAAACACACACATGACTTTACAGTTAATCAAGTGGTTCTAGAAAAATCAATATGCCATAAAGATTCCGGGGAAGGTAATGCTTCTAAAATAAGGCCACACTTGTGACGATCCAAAATCAAAGACAAGCTGCCTAACGAGAACATCAAGGTTAGAAACAAAGTCTTTCCTGTTAGTCCTTTTTCCCTTTTCCTCTCGATTTTTTCCTGTTGTACTGCCCAAATTTGCCGTCCTCGTGCCCTGAAAAGCCTGCCGCATGTGAAATGACCAGAGCCCATATGAACAAGGTCGAACCACCAACCCACAAATATTAGTGAGGCTGGTCTGGAGGAAATTGCTGGAAAACAAAGGAACGCCATTCACGCAGCCCTGTGTCCAGCGCACCTGCCCCTCCAGAGAAGAAGGTCCTCAGCCTTTCAGGGGCTTCAACGCTACCTTTGGTTTTCCCTCTGGACTTTCCTTGAAAGTGTGCCTGCTGTCACTGGCGAGAGCTGGGGCCCAGTCCACACCAGACTTAAAAGACAGGAACGTGGTAGTGGCGGTCATTCTCCGTCAGCAGGGAGATCTCTGGCCACTCCCTGGGCGGCAAGTCTGGGTAGCAGACCTCGAAGTCTCTGCAATTAAACTTGAACAGTCTGAACACTTTAATCTTTATTTCAAGGGAGTGTCCAAGAATAAACATATCGACCTGCAGAAGAGAGGAAAAAGAGGTCACAAACACACATCTCCAACTCCCGCCCCTAGCAGAGGAGAGAGCGCGTTCTCCGGCAGCTTAGGGAGGAATGAGTGACGTGCTTACTTAGATCCACGCATGAACCACTGAGGGGCCACAGTCAGGAATACACGTCCGCAACGTGCAAGGCGGGGGACGGCAGGGGAACGTCTTTGTAGACTAGCATGAGAAAAGGCTGTTTTGGGGAGTAGGGGAACAACTACTAAAAATAAAGGAATGCTCAGAAGAAAAAAGCCACTTTTTCCAACTAGTTTTATATCAATTTTGATAAGAATACCAGGTAACTTTGTACATTGCCCAAGTGAACAAAGCAAGACAAAACCTCTTTACGATGGGGATAAGAAAGTATTCTCTGGATGGAAAATTTTCTTTTCTTTTTTTTTTTTTTAAAGATTGGATTCATTTATTTATCTGATCATGTGTGCATGAGCAAGGAGAGAAGCACAGGGAGAGAGGGACAGCAGGCTTCACGCTGAGTATAGAGCCTGATGCGGGGCTTGATTTCACAACCCCGAGATCATGACCTGAGCCAATAACAGGAATCGGGCACTTAACTGACTGAGCCACCCAGGCGCCCCTGGACTTAACATTTTTCAATAATTTTTTTAAGTTCAAGTTCACTTATTGTTTTTAGTAATCTCCACACCCAACGTGTGGCATGAACTCATGACCCTGAGATCAAGAGTTGCATGCTTTCCCAACTAAGCCTGCCAGGTGCCCCTAAAATTTTTCAATAATGTCTATTTATCTTCAGCAAGGAACCAAATGCCTTCCCAAACTTCATCTCATTTTCCAACAGGACTTTCTCCTGATTCAACTCTGTTGTGGGAGAAGCTGCCACCATCTGGGAGGCAGAGTGAAAGGTTAGAAAGGCTTCCCACCCTGGGGCGCTCTGGTCCCGGCTGGGAAGACACAGCAAAGAGCATGGAGCCGTGAGGCTTATTCCTCTTTTTTCCCTTCTTCTTCTTCTTCTTTTTTTTTTTAAAGATTTTTATTTATTTATTTGACAGAGATCACAGGCAGGCGGGGGTGGGGGGGAAGCAAGCTCCCTGCTGAGCAGAGAGCCTGAGTCGGGGCTCGATCCCAGGACCCTGAGACCATGACCTGAGCCAAAGGCAGAGGCTTAACCCACTGAGCCACCCAGGCGCCCCTTTTCCTTCTTTTTAAGGGTCAGTGATATCAGCCCATTACCTCTTTGCAGTGGGTTTTCTCACTGCTGAAAGGAAGTTCCAGACACCTGTGTGTTCAAGGACAGCCAGTATCGTCCTGAATCAAACCCACAGGGTTCTCCTGCCCCATTACCTGCTCCAGTCCACACGTGTCACCCACAGGATTCAGGTGGTTCATCATGAAGCTTAAAGGGTCACATGATGTTTCCCGGGCAAACAGGAGTTGAAAAAGACTGGGAATGACCTTGTTAGTCTTCATTTGCTCATAAACTTCAGTGACTTGATAGAGCATGATGAACTTTAAAGCTTCATATAGTTTATATTCCAGAAGCACATCAGAAAAAAGGATGTTGCACATACTTCCTCTCTTGTGGTAATCTTTAATTCCACTAAATTCAGCCCACTAAAAATACAGATGTAAAAGGGAAATTTATAGGGGAAAAGTGAATTCCTACACCACGGCATCATTTTTAAAGTACTTATAAAAATAAACCAAAGATTAATAGAGGGGAGCTTGAACTTCTCATTTTATAGCTTTTGACCCTGATTTTTTGTTAACCACACGTATGTGTTACTTTTACAATCACAAACCGGTTTAAATGAAACATTTTTCAAAAACAGCACTGTCAACTTCGTAAAATGCCGAGCAAGTGAGTTTCCTGACAGCTCAAGATAGTTGGGTCACACAGAAGAGACTCCAGAGATAAACAGTACTAACTAGTACTCTTTACCACTCACTTGCCAAGCACAGATTAAAACACTCCACAGACATGAACTCACTGAAGCTTCACCATAACTGTAAAGGGGACACGATTTACATATCAGTTTTACAGACCAGGAAACTGTGGCACAGAAATGCTATGGTTATCTACCAGGGAGAGTTCATTTCAACAATCCAAAACCTGTGTCTATTAAAAGGCAGGAAAAACTCTTAGTTCAAATTATAGCGTCTGTGCTATCCCCAAATTATTAATAGGGTACATCCCAGAAGGGCATTTCTGAGTGCCCTGCCTGGACTGTGCACCCCATCTTTCGAGGGGAAACAGGCAAGTGAGTGTTAAGGTGTCCCAGAGAGCCCACAAAGGCCTCCTTAACCCATAATGGCCTCATTGTCACGCACAACATGGCTTGTTCATTACTTGGAAGGTGAAAGAACAGGAAAGCCAATCTCTACTTCCTAGAAGAGATGCTCCTAGCCACGTGTTCCCCTTATGTGGAGTCGAGTGACATGCCTGACAGAGAAGGGTCACTACATCTGGGGGGCGAGCTTTCATTCCTAGTCTTTTCCTCCCCCAGAAGACTCACCTGTGTTTTCAATAATTCCACACATTTACGTAATTTTCCAAACACATTGGAACCTGTATACTTCTCAGGACCAAAACTGTATTGCTGGATCCAATTACAACCTTGTGAAAAGAGCAGTTTTTCAGGAAGCTTGAAAAGGAAGTAGATGCCAGCCATGATTAGTACCTCAACATTTATGGCCCACAATTCAGAATACGTCATGGTGTATGATCTTACCTCCCTAAGCAATCTCCATTTAAAAACACGACGACAACAATTAAATAAAAGCATATCGTTCCTTCTTTTCGATTTGTGGATTATAGGATTTGGATCAGATTCTTAATTTATAATTTTACAACTGATAAAAACATACATGAAGATTGTGTCTAAGGAAACAATCTTTCTGCATAAAACACTTCCTAAACTGCCTAGTTATATCCCTTTAGATATTCTTTTTGCCCAAACAATGGTAGAACACCATGGTTCGTCAGGAGGCACGTGGACTTTAGGACGAGGTGCTGGGGTCCAATCTGCGCACTGTCACTTACCAGCTGAGAGACTGTTCAACCGGGCCAGATCACTTACTCTCTTGGCCTCACCCTCTACCATAAATCAAGGACAATGCCACCCACTTTACAGGACCCTTGTTGGGATTAAATAAGATTACAGAATACATAAGACTCTGATCAGTGAAGGGATCTAATCCATTTTCCCACCCCACTGAGATTGGGGAGCCCAGTGGCTTGGTTATAGTCTCTGTCTTCAGCAGGTAGCAGGCCTAGCCCACCACGCACACTTGACAAGTACTTGCTAGATAAAAATGAAACTAATAAAAACAAGTGTAATTTTTTAAATGGCAAGGAAATAGACCATATATAGTTACATATATTCATATACTTTACATTTCCGTGCTCCTCCGTCCTTAAATGTACGTCCTAGATTAAACACCCTACATTCAAAATAAAAATTCAGGTTGTTCATCAAGAGTGTTCTGCCTTTGAAAGAAAGGAAGGAAAAAAGGAAGGAACGAATGAACAAATGATGGATGTACTACCTTACACTCTTAAAATGAAAGAAAAACAAACGGCACAGACTGGGAGAAAATATTTGCAAATCACATATCTGATAAAGCACTTATACTCAGAATATATACAGAACTCTCGGGGCACCTGGGTGGCTCAGTCATTAAGCATCTGCCTTCAGCTCAGGTCATAATCCCAGGGGTCCTGGGATCAAGCCCCATGTCAGGCTCCCTGCTTAGCAGGAAGCCTGCTTCTCCCTCTCCCACTCCCCCTGCTTCTGTTCCCTCTTTGGCTGTCTCTGTCTGTCAAATAAATAATTAAAATCTTTTTTTTTTAAGAACTCTCAAAATTCAGTCGATAATAAGATAAAAGTAAAAATAATTTTAAAATAAAGCAAAAAGGGGAGCCTGGGTGGCTCAGTGGGTTAAGCTGCTGCCTTCAGCTCAGGTCATGATCTCAGGGTCCTGGGATCGAGCCCCGCATCAGGCTCTCTGCTCAGCAGGGAGCCTGCTTCCTGCTCTCTCTCTCTCTCTGCCTGCCTCTCCGTCTACTTGCGATCTCTCTCTGTCAGATAAATAAATAAAATCTTAAAAAAAAAAATAAATAAATAAATAAAAATAAAATAAAGCAAAAAAAAACCCCAAAATTAATAAAAATGTGCAAAAGACTTCAATAGACACTTCTCCAAGAAGATAACATGGAAAGACATTCATCCTTCCACACTAGAGGAATGCCGACTAAAAGCAGTGATACCAGTGAACGCCTATGGGAATGGCTAAAAATAACCCCAAATTGATCCTGGTTAGAATGTGGAACAACTGGAACTCTTACACTTTAGTGGTGGAAATGCAAAAATGGCAGAGCCACACTGGAAAACAGATGGCAGGTTCTTATGAACTTAGACCTACACCTACCACATGACCCAACAATGTCTCTCCCAGGCATTTGCCAAAAAGGAAAAAATCCTGTATGGAGATATTTATAACAGCTTTAGTCATAGTTGTTAAAAACTGGAAATAATCCGGATGTCCTTCAAGTGATGAACGGACAAACAAGTGGTGTCATACTCATGTCAAGGAATAGCACTCAACAATAAAGAGGAATGAACTACAAGTTCACGTGGCCTGGGTGGACGGCAGTGCATTCTGCTAAGTGAAAGAAGTCAGAGCCAAAAGGTTACATGCTGGATAGTTCCACGTGCTGGACATTCTGGAAAAGGCAAAAACGATAAGGACGTAAGACCTATCAATGGTGCCCCCCAAGCTAGAGGTGAGAGAAGGGCTGACTATTAAGGCATGGGGTGGGGGGATCTCTGGTGCGCTCTACGGGTTTGTCAAAACTTGAGTAAGTGTAGAGTAAAAAAGGGGATTTTAGTAGACCACCTTGCTTATGAAGGACAGATGCCCTTCTTGAGAAAAGATGGCGACATTAAAAAGAAACAACACTGAGTAGGACCGCCTCTCTGAGATGGACGGGGTATGTTGGGCCTTCGAAGGCTCCTTCAATCTCAGGACGCACAGAGCCGCCCGCGGAAGACCCAGCCACCTGCACAGCAATGCTTATCGACCCACCGTTCCCCCTTGTTTCTGGCGTGCGGATGTACCTTCACGATGTCTTTCTCTTTCATCCAGGACGGAAAGGAGAGGCCCTGACTGAAGACCTGGAACAGCACTGACCTCAATGCGTCGTAGTTGTCTCTCCTCACTTGTCGGACACATTTGATGTGATGCCGCCAAAACAGCTCCTCGTAAGCCTGTCCGCACAAAAAGAAGTTGGTTTTCAACTCCTCTGGGTAAGAGAATAAACAAAATGAATTCACTGTACCATCAGTGGGGCATGCCTCCCCAATAACGCGGACGACAGAAATGAAAACAATTTCAAATTATGAATGTGACCGCGTGTCACATTCCCTGTGTATTGAGTTCATGTCCTGCTCTTTCAGTCGGTGAATTCCTGGAAGCCCAGGGCCAGGGAATATCACTTTGGGGAGACGATGGCTTCAACTGGACCACAGTGAAACAAAAGTACTAGATACGTTTGAGACCACGCTAAAGAGTACTGGAAACGAAACTCTCTTGCTGCTGGCAAGGCTGGATGCCACCGCTGAGAGGAGCTACCAGGCCTGGTGCAATGGGCAATTCTAAAAATCCTCAAAATCTTTTACATCCAGGTAAGGAAGTCTCCCCTGCATGTGGAGATGGGCCATAGGCCTGGGGTTGGGGGAGAGGCGGGGCTGAAAAGAGTGCCACCCTCAAACTGCCCGAAATTACAGCCTCATTTACGTCCTTATCCAGGCCCTTGCTCTGGGTGACAACCCAAAGCCACTGTGTGGCTGCTGCTTGACTGCCCCATGAGTCACAATTGCTCCTTGTGGCACATCTGGCATTAGCGGATCTCTGGGCTTCATAAGGCAGAGTGGAATGTTTGTTTCCCGATTTTTCCACATGCATTCTGCCTCGTCCGGGACCCGCAGTCACACACGCACCTTCCTCATCAGCTTGGCACGTGGCGTCTCTCCTTTCCACTCTCTTGCGCAATAACTGAGCAGATCAACCTCAGCCTCGACACTGAGGTTCCCTGGACCAAATCAAACAGAAAAGGGAGTTGAGTTTCCCTTTCCTCGCCCTTCTCAAACCCTCTCTGCAACTTAGAGGTAAGAAAACATCTGAAAATACTTACTTTTGAATTTTCTCTGCAGATAGCCAATCCACCTGAAAGATAAAAGGAATGGCAATGTCAGATATCTACTTGGAAGGGCAATGGTCTGTTTGTAAACCGGAAGCTGATCCGACCACCTACCATTTCAGCCAGTGCCCTAAATCACAGTGCATCCTCCTGCAGTAGCACAGGGCAGCCACCAGACAAGCCGCTGCCAACATCACTGACCCCTTCGCTAGCCTCCACGCGGCACCCAAAGCCTGGCTGGTGGCTAGCATCCAGGAGTGAACCTGGTCACTTCCTAGAAAAAATAAAAAATAAAAAAGTCACAATTACACAAGTATGCTTTGTTTAAGGGGGAAAATGTATTGGCTAATCTTACCCGCAAAGTCTCTATCACTGATGACATGAACGGTTTTTATTTTTTAATTTATTTTATAAAGATTTTACTTATTTATTTGTCAGAGAGAGAGCACAAGCAGGGGGAGCAGCAGGCAGAGGAGAAGCAGGCTCCCCACTGAGCCCAATGCAGGACTTGATCCCAGGACCGTGGCATCATGACCTGAGCCAAAGGCAGATTCTGCACCGACTGAGCCACCCAGGCACCCTCAATCACATAAACAGTTTTTGAAATATTAAAAAATTCAATCTGAAAGTTAAAGAAACCCCCGTTCTCCGATAATCAATGTTCTATGTAAGAATATCTTTGTTCCACAGAATTTGCAAGGGATAACCGTGAAGAAGATCGCTTTTAGAATCCCTTGGACCGTTCAAAACCTGCCTCCCCTACCCTGGCTGTGTGACCACAGGAACCTAACTTCTCTCCTCTGAATTGTCTTGACTGTGATATTGGGGAAAACGCTGACCTCACTGGGGCAAGACGGAATGAATGATTTCAGAACCAGCACAGTACGCCCAGGCACTGCGCTGTGTATCTGTTGAATCCGAGAATGGTGCTAGGAATTCTGCTCGACACCGGGGGCCTCCAGCGATGCCACCACCAGGCATTTCTGCCCACTCGGATATTCTTTAATCATTATGAGCAATTACAGATGGCATCACCATCACACACACACACAATGAGTGACCCAAACAGCAGGCTGGACGTCGTTCCCAGGAAGCGGACCCCTTAGAAGAGTGGTGAGGTGGGGACAGGTGTGCTGTGCATGGTATGTGCTCCCATTCCTGACGTGACCAGGGGAAATGAATGGGCCAGAGAGCTCCAGCTGTGTACTCACAGGATTTTACTATGTGCAATTGTATTATGCTGGGGCATTTAAAATACTGAAGTACAGATGAGGAAGAGAATTTTTGAAGAGTGGCCCAGCCTCCCAGAATTCATTGTAAACTCATTCCCTCTCTGGCACAAGGTTTGGTAAAATTCCAGTGATTAATAGGAAAAGCCTCAGCAATTCAGGATTTATAATTGAAGCATTTTTTTTAAAAGTCGGTTCTACGAGATGTCCATCAACAGATGAATGGATAAAAAAGAGGTGGTATATATATACAATGGAATACTATGCAGCCATCAAAAGAAATGAAATCTTGCCATTTGCGATGACGTGGATGGAACTAGAGGGTATCATGCTTAGCGAAATAAGTCAATCGGAGAAAGACAACTATCATATGATCTCCCTGATATGAGGAAGTGGAGATGCAACGTCAGGAGTTTGGGGGGTAGGAAAAGAATAAATGAAACAAGATGGGATCGGGAGGGAGATAAACCATCAGAGACTCTTAATCTCACAAAACAAACTGGGGGGCTGCTGGGAGGGGGTTCGGGAGAGGGGGGTGGGGTTATGGACACTGGGGAGGGTATGTGCTAAGGTGAGTGCTGTGAAATGTGTAAACGTGGTGATTCACATACCTGTACACCTGGAGCTATAAATACATTATATGTTTATTAAAAAATAAAAAAATAAAATTAAAAAAAAGTCGGTTCTACACCCAATGTGGAACTTGAACTCACTACCCAGAGATCAAGAATCACGTGCTCCACAGCCTAAGCCAGCCACATTCCCCAATTTTAGCATTTTTGATCATAAGAATATTTGATATACATTTAAGCTCTGATAGGAAAGAATTTACCAGCAAATAAAGAAATAAAGTTACCAAAAAAGAAAAAAGAACTAAAGGTACCAATAACTAAGAATAGATACACTTACAAATGACTTAAAAGGGCATTTTCAAAAGCAGGTACTCATCCGTTTAGAACAATTTATTCGCTGTTCATATATATTTATGCCTGCCTAGATATTTGGTAAAACTTTTGGGGAGTTTTTTAAAAATATAACACGATACTACCTTTACATCAATAATTTAGATGTTCATTAATTCAGAGTGATTTCCCAACTGTGAAAATTCTGACATAGGCAAATACTTTTAGTAAATCCTTAAACTCAGCAAACACTAGAATTTTGTCTAGATGATACATAATTTCTTTTAATGTATTTATAAACATTTTCTAGAAAAATGGACTATTATACATGGTTTTACAGTGTTTTTTCTCTTCATACAAAGTAGACGTCTTTTCTTATCACTACATAGAGGTCTACATTCTTCTTTTTAGAAAACACCTAACATTTCAGTGTAAAGACAGATGATCATATATGTACAGTCACTGCCTTAACGATAAATCATTTGGATTGTTTTCCATTTCTCACTCTTGCAAACATTGCCGAGACAGACAGTCTCCTCCAATGGTCCTTGTGGGCCCATGGGCTTTAGGATAATTTCAAGAGGAAACTCTGGACCGAGGGGAATGTACGTTTTTAGTTTTGACAGATATTGCCAAAGTGGTTTCCAAAACAAACTGTCGGTCCACACCCCCACCAGTCCGAGTGCCCGCGCTGTCCCTCTACCCCGGTCCTGGGCCCCGGTTGTGACTTCTCTCTGGAGTCTGCACTCCCGCAGGAACACAGGCACATTTCTTCTTCTGGAAAGAGCCTGGGAACAATCTGCCCACTTGCCGCCGGCCGGCGCTCATTGTTGCGTGGGCTGAGTGACGTCACCGAGGTGGGGTCCGGCTGCTGCCCCCTCCATGGGGCACGCTGCTCTCCTTTGTCACAGACTCTAAGCAACCTCTGGCATCCTTTGGGGCCTGCCAGGTCCCTTAGGGCTCTAGACTTGAGACCCCCCCAAACAGGGCCCTCTCCTGAGCATGAGCCTCTCTGGCAGCTGCCCGGGGCTTCCACGGGATCCCCTACAGATGACAGCGCGCCTGACCCCCACGCACACGGACAGCATACTTCCCTGGCCACTATCCGGAAAGTAAACCCCACTCCAACCCAAAAAAGGCAGAGAGGATCAACTTATCAGGAAAACACAAAACAAAAAACATGTGAGGGCTCCGTACGCCTCTCCCGTGCAAAGCTAGCACACAAGCTCACACTCCTGGGCCTCCCTCTACGTAACTGGCAGTTTTTGGTCTAGTGGCTTAACCCAGGAAGGGCCAGGGAGTGCCATCATGGGGGCTGGGGTGGGCGCCGGGGAGCAGCCTGGGGGGGGACCCCGAAGCCCCATGGGAGTGGATGCAGCTCAGATAATCCTGAGGTGTTCATGCAAGACACAATGACATTACAAAAGCCAGTCTTCTTTAAGGAGAGGAAGTGCAGTGTGTTGGGTTTTTTGGGTTTTTTTTTAAGATTTTATTTATTCATTTGAGAGAGAGAGCACAAGCAGGGGGAGAGAGAGAAGCAGACGCCCTGCTGAGCAGGGAGCCCAATGCAGGCTGGATCCCTGGACCTGAGATCGTGACTGAAGCCGAAGGCAGACGCTTGACGACGGAGCCACCCGGGCATCCCAGAAGCGTGGTGTTTCAGTGGGAAAAGGTATGGCTTCGCTGGTCATTAGAATAGCTACAGTCTGAGTTTTGCTATAAGCCTGAGCCGTGCTAGGGATTCACTCCGACCCGCTCCTGTAGGCCTTCCTCCGCCCCGGCCCCATCCCAGCCCTGCTCCTGCCCTGGTGACTTCACATCCCTGAGCATCTGTATCTCAGCCTGGGGATGGCCACAGAGCCTGGCACCGCGCGAGTGTGGCCCGCACGGGAACGGAGCCGTTGTGAGTGGGGTAGAAAGGTTAGGGAAGCACTGAGCATGCCGTCTGGCAAACCCTGAGGCCCCAAGTCCCTGTCCCTTATCATTTGTTTTGCTATCAGTCCAACCATCCTTCTTCTGCAGATGAGGGAGCCGCGTGGGAGAGAAAGACTGAATACGAAAGCTGTAAGGCTGGGATTCAAAGCCCAGGCAGTGCGGTACCTGAGTGGCCCGAGCCCTTGGCTCTCCCGCCCATGCATTATGCCCCTGAGTCAGTCTTCAAATTAGCTTTGCTACAGCAAGTGGAATTGAGACTCTTTAAAAAGAGACTTAAAAATCCATCTCCTGCCCCCGCATGTATCAGTAACAGGATTACAACTCAAAAGCAGCAGCCACAGACGAGGACACCGCACACGAGGGCCCCGCGGAATGCTACCATCATCACGACTTGGGGGATCTCATGGTCAAATCTCACTTCCCCAAACACAGCAGAGGGGATAAAACTTCCCATGTCGGGACCTTCACTGCCCCCCGACCCCGTCCGCCGGCCCGGCAGTGACCTGCCCAGCCTCCCCTCCCCTGTCCACGAAGACCGGGGCTGGGGCGATGCTGACCCCGACAAGCACCGGGAAAAGAGAGCTGGTCTGACCGCCAGGGATTCTGTCATTCAACCTAATACAAAGAGGGACAAGGACAAGAAACACGGGTGAGGTGTGGGGGCCGCAGGTTTGACAATGAAGCATCTCTAGGAAGTGGGGGCCGCAAGGAGCAGGGGAGGACAGAAGCTCTGCTGGAATTAGGGATTTGGTCGTCGCCCATCTTTGTCAAGAAAGAAAAAAACGAAACTTTGTTTCAGTACTTTTGGAATGGCCCACCTGGGTGGTGGTCCTGTTGGAAAGCGGATTAACTAGGCCTCACAGCACAAAGAGAGGCGAGAGAGCCCAGGCCACACAGTGGGGAAACGTCGCTCCAGAGTGGGTCGGACCTTGGAGGAATGGTGGCGGCGGAGCCTTGCGAAGTCAACAGCACGGCTATCAGAAAGTCAGATCTCACCTGCCGCCTCTCAAACTATATATGGCGACGACACCACGATTAGAAGTGAAAAAAAAAAAAGCTTTTTTTTTTTTTTGGGGAAAAATTCTTTTAAGTTTTTTTTTTCTTTTCTAAAATGTACAAAAACTAAAAAAATTAAAAAATAAAAAAAAAAAACCAAAAAAAAAAAAAAAAAAAAACCCCTGAAAACAAAACCAAAAGACACTGCGACT